GTATCTAATTCCTTCAGTGGGCCGACCTCCTGTGCAGGCAGGGGGGAGAAAAAACTGTGAAAGTGTGAGGTGGAGTGGCTGCGGCGCCGGCCTCTGCTGGGGCTGGAGGAGCGCAGCTGTCTGACCCCGGGTGAAAAGTTCAAATCTGCATTTAAAAGGAGTGCCAGGACCCCCCTCCGCCCCTACCCCTTCCCCCCAGTCAAGTTGAAACTGTTGGAGTTTAGAGGATATGGTCAGGCCCTGCCCTGGGACATGAAACAGCTCCTGGTTCCCTTCGGCCACAGCCCGATGATGTGGGGACCCTGGGGGCGGGGGTCTCTCCTGAGGTGTCGTTCTTGGATACCAGTGATGTTGAGGGACCCCACCCGTCCACCCCAGTCACCAGGAGGAGAGGAAGTTTCCTCCCTCTGTCTGGTGCTGGGTGTTGAAGCCCTTTCCCCAGGCACTCTTGGCCTGGCCTTTCCTTTTTTGACCTCCTTCCTCCAAGGCCACTGTGGGTGGTGGAGGCCCTGGCCGGCCAGGTTGGGGGTGGGGCAAGGCCCCTTCTCCAGCGAGGGGCTCTACTCCCCGTCTTGGTCTTGTGGCTTAAAATGCTCTGCTGGGCCCTGACGGGGTCAGGTCTGCAGCCCGCTCCTCCTGTGTGCCCACTGGCAATCCTGAACCAAGGGCGCCCTGTGCTTTTCTGGAAGCTTCTGTGGCCTCTGTGGGTGCAGCTGCGTGGGATCAAGGAGGGTGCCGGCCTGCTGGTGGGGAGAAGCAGGGGTGGGAAGGGGAGCCCGGCCCCCAGTGGCAGAAGTGCCAGCAGCAGTCCGTTCCCTCCCCTCCCCCTGCCCTGCTACCCCGCTCAGGAGGGGGTCTGGCCACAGCCCTGCCCGGAAACCCATCCGCTCGGGCCCTGATTTGTTTACTCGAGCATTAGGTGAATGTAAACAGTTCATCCTCTCCGATTTTATATCCCTAAAGGCTCCGAGTGTGAATACAAATGGGTATTAGGCCCCTGTGGTTTCAATGGCTGTCCCCACCCCCTCTTTTGCTAACTAGTAGGTCTTTAACTCGCCTCGGGGAAGATAAGGTCCTCTGCAAGCCTCAGGGCTTCGGTGACTCCTTTCCCTTTTTTTCTTTGGTTTCGAATGCTGAGACTTAAAGAGTAGTGTTGGGAGGCCTCCATCCCTAGGACTGAACGTGGACGAGAGCAGAGAGCACGGCTTCTGGCTTCTGTTAAGGGGAAGCCTGGTTATTTTGATCTCTCATTTGGGGAGGAAGAGACGTTTTCTGCGTCCCTGTTGCTATGTCAAATGCACTGTGAATCTTGACTGTTTGGTCAAGTTAATACTTTCTCACAGATCAGGTGGTATCATATACCTTTGCTTCATTCTTTCTGAATCTTTCCCCCCCCCCCCCACAGTGTAGTTGGACATTCCTGCCGGTAAGAAGGGTGGTATCTGGGGAAGGGTCTCTCAGGTCAGTTTCACACATCTTGTTTTCTCCCGTAATAAGGTCAGACACATTTTTTTTTTTTCTTCAAGGGATCATGTGAACTCCTGAGGGTCATGCCAGGTTACTTCACCCACAAGGTTCTAGAACTCACCTTCTGTTAAGGAGCACCCTCACACCCCCATTCCTAACTCCTCCCACTCCCCTCCCCCCACCTCCGTCTCCTTCCAGTAAGGAGCTTCCTTCTTTGCAACCAGAGGGCATTGTGACCTGAAGGAGCAGTCACCCATCACCTCCACCCCTGCCCCACACGTTTGCGTTCTGGTTCATGCGTTCAAGGCCGGGGCAGTTCTGGTTCCTGTGATGGCTCTGAGTCCAGTCACGCCATCACAGGGGCATTTTAATTAGCAAGGCCTTAGTCATTAGTGAGTTATTGTTTTTGTCTGGAAACACTTAAGTACTGTTTACTCGATGTCTCAACGAAATGCAAAACAGCAATTAAGCAGAAATTTGTTGTATGAGGCAGGAACCAAAATGGATTGTCAAAAGCAGGTCGTGGGTCCTCCAAGTCAAGTCGCTCTTGCCTTCGGCCTCCTGAGAACTGTAGCGCAGCAAGTCCTCTCTCTCTCCAAGACCTGCCCCCCTCCCCCCACCCAGGGTTATCTGATAGAAATACTCACAAACTTCCGTTGCATCTTCCTGCATCCTCCCTTCACTGATGTGGATGGTTAGGTTTGGTGAAGTGTTAATGTTTACTTTCTTCTTCCTTGGCATTTCTACTACCTGGATATTTCAAAACCCTTTCCAATGAAGATTAATTATTCATGAAAACTTGCATATCCTTGTCGGTGGTTGCTGGAAATTGAGTCTCTTTTCTTTATGCTTCTGAGACCAAGTGCCATGGTTAGTTTGATCCATACTTCATGAGCCCTGGAGAGGATTGGGTGCTAGGATAGATGTCCCTTTTACTTAAAATCTTTTCTATGGATTGGTGGGAAGGAAGCTAAAATGAAGAATTCTGGCTAAGGCAGACCTGGAGAAGCACCAGAATGTGAAGAAAACAGAGGTGCATGTAAATTGCCTGCAACTTGGATGAGAAACATTGACCCCAGAGAAGGAGTATCTCCTTCCCGAGACTAATAAACAAATGGCATCTGCCTTGGTAGGGTTCTAGCCTACCAAATGGAAAATGGAATCATGTGAGAAGGCTGAGGGGGCTGTTAGGGGGTCAGGTCAACTCTGAGTCGCATTTTACTGGCTTCCACTCCAGGAGACAGGTTGATGTAAAAACTCTTGGTACCAAGTTCATGATCGGGGGGGGGACCCCATTTCCTAACTGCTCGGGCGCTTGGCTTGTTGCTTCCTGTCTCTTTTTTTCTTCTTTTCCCTTCAAACAATATCTTCTGACTTCAGATTTCTGATAAATTGATAAGAGGCATTGCATGAGTCAATAGAGCCGTAGACACTTTGCCAATATAACCCCGGCTCTATTGATCTGCCAGTAAATTAAAGTCTTACTTAGAGGCTGCCGATATTTCTAATCTCCTGCCTCACCAATTACATCCTCCCAGCTACCTGGAAGGGGGATTTGAGCCTTTGAACCTTTATTTGTTGATGTTGTGAGCAGGCCGCTATCCTTCCATGAGCCTGGGGGCCTTTGCCTGCCTAGCCAGGTGGGAGAAGGGGGAGCGCGGAGGAGAATGAGCCAACTTGACTCCTTGCCTGGGACCAGTTTTCGTGCTCCAAGGTTCATTAGTAAAAATTTCTGAAAAACAAATTCCATCATGGTGGTCACGAACATTTTATCCACAAGCCTGCAGGTCACTCTTATCCTTGACTTTGCCTGGAGTTTGGAGGTAGAAAAAGTTGAGAGTAGCTGCCATCGGAGGTCTCCCTGGCATGTTTCATGGCTGTCTCTCACTTGGGGGGAAAAAATGCTGACAGCTTTTCTCTTGCACTGGGAGAGAAGGAGAGTTAGGATCAAAAGTTGGATTATTAGTGTTTATCACTTTAAAAAAAAATGCCCAAGAGTTTGGAAAAGGAGAACAGAGGACGGGTGCCCAAAATAGGAATGGCTGGAGGCCTGTGTATGTGCTTGCTGCTTTTTTTCGGGTTTTGTTCCAGAGCCGTTTTGTGTTCTCATTGGAGCAGAGGCCTGGGGGAGAGAGAATTCCCTTGTTTGTCCTTTGTCAGTCTTGCCCACGGTGTCCCCTCTGCCACTCCCCTCTCTGCCTTCTCGCTCACACATTTGAAGTCGAGTAACAATAATAGGGGCTTCAAGATGTCACCCTGGAACCGTGAGGCTCGTTGAGTTCCCTACCGGGGTGCCCACTTTTCGCAGTGGTAGTGGTTGCAGATAAGCTCTTTCAAGTCCCGTTGATGTGGTTGGCTTTGGGAAGAAATCTCCAGATAAATGCTGTGTTCTCTCTAATACTCCAGAGTGGAAAATCAATGGGAGGGATAATTCCTCCTTGTCCAACACACACCCCTCCTGTGTTTCTACCCGGTGAAGTGAAAGTGAAGTCGCTCAGTCGTGTCCGACTCCCAGCGACCCCATGGACTGCAGCCCACCAGGCTCCTCCATCCATGGGATTTTTTCCAGGCAAGAGTCCTGGAGTGGGGTGCCATGTTTCTACCCGGAGCAGCACTCAAAAAATTTTTAATGACAAATCCAGTCCCGGAGTCTTATCTCTTCCCCAGCATTCAGCAGGAAGATGCGTTAGGACTTGCCCATGCCCCCTTTAGGAGAAAGAACGGCTCAGACCCTGGGACCTGGGGGTCTTCCTTCTGCCTTCCTCCTCTGCTTACCTCTCGTGTGGAAGAGCCGAGCGCTTGAGCTAGGGACCGGGAGTGTGGGAAGCTCGCCAGAACGGTCCACCAGCTGGCCAAGTTAGGGGCAGATGGAAGGTGTGTGCAGGGTCCCAGGATTGCATGTGAGATGTTCATGGCATTGCCTTCTGCTAGAGGGTGACCAGGCTGGTGGCCCGTCTGGAGTGGCAGAGGAACCTGCTTCAGGGCTGGCTGGGTCTCCTTGCCCGGCCTGGAGACAATCTCTCCAAGCGTTCACTTGGCTCTCTTGGGCTGAGTGAGTGAAGAAGATGTTAGACAAGGTTCACCCCAGGAGGTTGGGATTGACTTTCTCCTTTGTTTGGATTGCATTGTATTGTAGGAGGTGTTTAAATCTTGTTCACACCTGTCGAGGCTGAGGCCTGGCTTTAGAGAGCGGTTTGTAACAAGACTTCTGTTGTTGCTGAAAAGGTTCCTAGCTCACAACAGAGGAACTTTATTGTAGCAACTTGTTAATGTTCAATTAGGCAAATTCTGGGTGCCCTGGGGCAGTGGAAGGGCGTGCTGGTTCTCCCTGGCTGCCCACAGCCCCTTGTCGGCCAGCTGGATGGGGCGGGGGAGACACAATCTTGTCCACTGGCTCTTCCAGGGGCAATAGGTGGGGTCCCGCTAGTCGTTCTGAGGCGTCTGAGGTTGATAGCGGGGAACAGAGGAGGTTGATGCCAGCTCTTCAATGAAGCAGCCTCCTCCTGAATCTTGGCACTTGCTGGCTCACCCACCTTTGGGTGTGGCACTGGCTGTGCACCGTGCCCAGTTCGCCTGTGGGTTGGGAGGAGAGAGGGAGGACCCCAGGCCCGGTGTGTGGCTGCTCCAGCAATAGGCCTGCCCCGAGCAGTGGAACCCTGTTATCTCTCAGAATCAGAGCCTGCCTGGCCACACCTGGGTATGTCTTCTGGCTCTGGTCCTGGCGTGATTCCTCTCGAATGACTGTCCCTCGTTTCGATGGTTAGTGTTTTCCAGCTCCTGATTAGACTGAGGTCTTGACTGTGCAAAAGTAGAAACAGGAAGCTCGTTTCTCCGATGGGAGGTTTCACTCGGAGGCGCTTCTGGTCTCATGAACCTGGTGGGCTGGCGGTTGTCTTTTCAGGATGGAGGTGAAGAAGCCGGAGCTTGAAGGGACTGGAGGTGCGCTTTTTAAAAGGGTGAGCAGGAGATGCTCAGAGGGGCCCTGCCCCCCACCAACACCCCGGCCCACAGTCAGGGTGCACCTGGGGCCCGGCAGCCTGGTGGGAGGTGGGTGCGCCCTCCCCACCGCGTCAGGGAGTGTCTGCTGGCGAGGCCTGGCTGTAAAATATTGGCCCCCGTGGCAGCCTCGCGCCGCGGTGTTGAGCGATGAGGAGCGTGGGGCAGCCGGCAGTGTATTAAACACTAGTTGAGCACAGGAGGGGCAGTATATCACAGGAGAGAGATAAGCAAAGTTCTCTGATAGTGGATCAATAAAGGTTAGTGACATCATATCTCAAAGTGAGGGAACCTGCTTTCTGCACAGCCATTTATCAGATCACAGCCTGGAAGGGCCTTAACCCCTCTCTGGCCGGGTTTCTTCTTCCTGAACACACAGAGACGAAACTCCTCCTTGGGGCGGGGGTGGGGGGCGATTGGGGGGGTGGGGGGGTGGGGGCGATAGCGCAGGGCGGGTCACTAATCCCAACACTATATTTAACGACACTGTTAAATACGTGTGTGCTGGTTTTGAAAATAAATGACTTCTGCCGTTAGTGTATTACCCCAGCAGTGGCTTGGACATGCTTCTGTGGAAAGTTTCTTAACTTTGAAATTTGTGCAGAAATTCCCAACAAAAGGCAGTACGTCTATAGAAGTGTGGAGACTTGGCCAGTGTGTTTTGGGTGCGCGGCTGTGTTGCTGTTGGACACCTGGGGGCTGGACATTGTGTTTGGTGCTGGAGGGTCAAGCAGTTTCACTGGACGGGACTATTACAGTTGTAATGAGCCTGGGAATGGTGGTGCCCATTCTGTTTGACTGTGTGGTGGTCTAGAAACTTCACATCCCCCAGTGGGCTGGGATCGGCAGACTGCAAACACGCCTGCAGGCCACATCTGGCCCAACGCCTGTTTTTGTGTGGTCCACAAGCTAGGGATGGTTTTCACCTTTTAGAGTGGTTGGGGGAGTCCAAAGAAGAATGTTGTTTCGTGACATATGAAAATATGCAAAAAATCTTACTTGGTCCGTAAGTAAGATTTTATTGGAAAACAGCGGCTTGTCCTTTTACATGTCTGCGGCAGCTCCCATGCCACAGTGACAAGAGCTGATCAGTTGCAAACAGACACTGAAAGGCCCCAAAGCCAAAAATGTTTACCTGACTTTCCACGGAAAAAAGTTTGCCAACCTCTAGTCTAGCCTCTAAGATCAGACCCACTGCTAACTAGCTGTGTGACCTTAGGTAAGTCACTTATCTTCTCTGTCTCATTTGTCTCTGTAATATAATCTTGTCCCTTACCTACTCCATGGTGTTCTGAAAGTCAAGATTGATGAGAGATGGATTTGAAAAATAGCTTGTGTTTGCGTCGTGTTTATTTTTGAATTAGCAGGCCCTTCAGTATGTAAATCTATCTAAGACTGCTAGGGCGTGGGGACTTGCCTTGTGGAAACCTAGTGTCTGGCATGATTGTTAGAGCTCGTCTCATCCCTGTGTCATGCTGGGTGAAGTTTGAGTTTCTTTGTCTCTGAAAACTTCAAGACATGCATCTTCCCAGAGTGAACATCTCTTGCTTTGCAAGGGAACATCAATTTTCCTCAGCGACTGCTGAGATTTTTATCCTTAAAGAGTTGGATCACTTTTCTTTCCTGCCCACCAGTGATTTATAGATGGAGAGAGCAGGCCTTTTCCTGTAGGTCTCCGGCTGTTTATCTTTCAGGTTGGGCCCTGACAATACGCGGGCTGGGATGGTCACATCGGCCAGGGCGTTTGGGGGCGAGATGCCAGTTTCAGGGCACAGGGGTGGTTGGGGGGAGCAGAGGAGGCCGGAGATTCCAGCCCAAAGCTAATGGGCTGGTGTCCAAGTGGAAAGTGTATTTTCATTGAGGAAGTGTAGGTATTAGTGGAGCCTGGATTACTGTGTGATTGTGCTGTCAATACTGCCGTATTGAGTCTGCGAGAGCCCGCACAATACGGGGAAACACTTAGCTCACTACTCCTGCTTATCGAGAAGCCAATAGCAATTTACTTGCTGACACTTGACATCAAATCCATTCCCAGAGGTGGAGCTCCCGCAAACTACCACGGAGCTCCCTCCCGTTCCTGGGGCCCTCCCGCCTTGGGGGTCTGCCAGTGTGCTGCCTCCCGGCTTCAGGGGAGAAGACAGGGTGGGCCGGGAGGAAGCAGGGTGGGGGAACAGTGGGAGAGATGTTCCTGTTTAACTTTCAGAGCTGACAAGAGGTTTTCTTCTGCTCCTCATCGTTCCTGTCTATGTCTTCTTTCAACAAGTGCTCAGTGACCCCCCCGCTTCATTCCTCCCCAGGGTGTGAGCTTTCTACATGTGGGAACTTTCTCCTCCTCTTCTTCACAAAAACATTGATTCCTAAAAATGGATACATGAGGAAATCATATGTGGGAGAAGGCCGAGCAGGGTCTCCAAAAGATGGGCGGGCATCTGGGGAAAGGCCGGGAGGATGCCGCGCTGGGGAGCAGAGATACCCCGTGGTACCCGGGGTGGGGGGCAGGGCCTCCCCGTGCCCCCATGCTGGTGGGGGGGAACATGTGACTCCAGAGCTGCCGGGATGGGGCACAGCTGAACACTCCGTTCCTTCTGTAACTGGTCGTCTGCGAGTCTGGAGTCTGTCTGCGGAGTGTGCGGCTGCTTGATTTACAGAGTCTTCACTTGGCCAAGCCACTTGGATGCCTTCTGACCCTGGACTCTTCTCCCAGGAATTGGCTCGCAGATGTGGCTAACTGGGTTCTGGGAGACAGAACCTACCACACGAGGATTTGGGGGTGACCAGTCCATGGCTCCCACTGGCCGCTCTGGCCTCGCTGAATGCTGGTGCCACTGAGTTTTGTCTGTGTGTCCCCAGAACTCGGGGCCCAGCCCAGAGATTTTTTTTTCTTGGGTGTCTTATGTGAGCTTCTCTGCAGCCCCTTCTTGCTGGCCGGGTAAGAGGATAAGATGGTTGGAGACGCTCTAACCCCATCAGCATCGCTGTGGATGGTGTGGTGCCCACGGGCAGCGGGAGGGAAGGCAACGCAGGGAGGTCCACACCTATGGGGCGTCATGAGGCTCGTGGAGAGCAGCCAGCAGTTCCCCGAAGTCTGCTGCTTTCACCTGCAAGGTGCTGCCCGTGGGAGAGAGCCCTGCTTCCCTCCTTCCTTGTCCCCCCCTTCCCCTGCTCACCCAGCCTCCTCCTCCCTCTGCCAAAGACTTGGGTGTTCCATTCACATCAAGCAAAGCAGAGCAGCGTGGAGGTGAGATTAGGGGCCTCTGGCCGTTTTACCTTCTCTCCAGTGACCTTGATCAGACCGAGCATCTGATGCTGATCAAGGCAGCCTTTGCCTCTGTGCTTGATGGTGCACCATGCTGGGAACGGTGTTCTTTAATTATGATCATGCTTTGTGGTAGGGTAACTCTCTCTGAGAAGATGACAGCAATTAAAGGAGGTCATTCTACCCGGTTTACAGATTGAGCAGCGAATGCCGGTGTCGTAACCCACCCCCACCCCCACCCTGAGTGTGTCCAGAAATGGACGAGTCACTCAGAGCTCTTTTGCTTTCTGTCACAGTCTGACGTAGATGAGACCACAGTGCCTTCGGACCAACACCATGGTATGTGTTGTCAGAACGACCTTCTCATTGCTCCAGATTCCGGGACTGGTGTGGGTGGGGGTCAAACAACTCAAAATGCGCTGGTGGTGGTTTGAGGTTGTGGACCTGACCTGTGATTCCACCAGGCTTCCCGACGCTCACTTGCTTAAGCCCCGTTTTCTTTAACACAGAGGGATTGTCTTGAGGGATGCCTTGGGGTCCTTCTCAGGCCAGATTATCATGGGAGGGAGCCCAGAAGGTGCCTAGGCCTGGTTGGGGAGGCAGGAAGCAGTCTCATTAGCACAGTGACATTGCCCCAGTTCTTGGGGGAGGTTGATCTGAATCCGGCTGCTCCTTGGCTGGTGGTCTGGGTGTACCGAACATTGGGGAAGGTCCACACAGGTGATCAGGCTAGTTCCTGAGCAGTGTGAAGATGGGGAGGCCTTGGCTTTGTCCAGGATGGGTTTAAGGCTTATAGGATCATGTGGGCGCAGGCTCACTTGCCTTTTCGAATTAAGGGTGGGACCTCCCTGCATTCACTTTCCTCTTTAAGGAACTCTCCAAAGTCAGCAACTGTTAGGTTGACACTTGCACTGAAGACCTGTGTTTCAGGAACATGTGGGCAGTTGTCCCAGTGTGCTTATCTCATTTCAACTTAAGTTTCTGGGACTTGGCCCTTTTCTTCAGCTCATTCTCACAGGCCTTGTCCAGGGCCCCATTTCCTTGTGGCTAAATTCCTACAGGTTCTAAGGAATCTCCAGGCTGCCCCCACTTCTGCCTCTAGGCAGCCTCTGTGCCGGAGATTTCAAAGTCATGGCCTGTAGGCAAAACCTGGGCCTGAGTTGAGTTGGTTCAGCAATATGGTATTTTAAAAGCAGATATATTTCAACATAAGACTCTAGACTGGAACCTCCTCCTGGAAACAGAGGGGATTTGGCACGTCTTAGGCCTTGAGAACAAAAGCCAGCTATCATGGTGACCTCCACTTTTAGAAGGGGTAGGTGCTGTTTAGGTCACCAAGAGTGGGCCCTGTCGCAGGTACACCTGGTGTCTGGCCAACTCGCCCACCTGTGCTTCCAGCTTTTAGGTCCGTGCTTTCAGGGGTTGCTCTGCGCACACACCACTACCACAACTCTGTTGGTTCTCAAAGGGGCTGACTTTGCCTCCCCCTCATCCCACAGGGACATGTGACAGCCTCTGGAGACATTTGGGGTTGTCGCAGCCTGGTGGGAGATGCTCCCAGCAGCTGGTTGAGGGAGGTCAGGGGTGCGGCTAAGCCTTCTCCAGTGCACAGGACAGCCCTCCACCCCCGTAAAGAATATGCGGAGTGTCAGTAGTGCCAAGGTCAAGAGACCCTGCTCTCTTTCCTTCCTCTCGTTCTCCTGATTCAGGCCTGCAGGCGCTTCGTGACGCCCAGCACTTTCCATCTGCCTGCAAGGACTCGGGAGCCTCTGGTGCTCAGCCTGCAGACTCCACTGGAGCTCCCAGAGTGTGGCTGACCTCCACACCGCTGCTGCCCCTGGCCTCAGGCTCCTTCCTGCCCCTTGACCTGGTGTCCACTTTTTCATCAAACGTTTGAGGACATCTCGGGTGCCAGGCACTGCTGGGTGCTGGTGCCACTGCGGTGGGGGAAGGGGAAAAGGGAGCCAGCCCTGTCCTCGTGGAGTTTAATACTCCCTCCACTCCCTCAGTACATGTAATTGGTAAGAAAAACGCAGTGTTTGAAAAGAAGTGAAATGCTACAGAGAAAGAGCCCGGCAGGGGAACAGGGCGTGCCGTGGAGGACAGTGGTTTGCAGGTGAGGAAGGTGACCTGAGAGCAGAGGCTGGAGGGAGTAAGCGATGGAGAGAGCTCTGGGCAGAGGGGAGACTCGGTCAGAAATGTCCAAGGAGCAGCAGGAGGCCCGCATGGCTGGAGCAGGCGTGGGAGGGGACAGGGCACGTCCTATAGGCCTGGGAGGTCATGGCGAGGCTCTCCCTTCTGTTCTGAGCCGGGTGGAGGGTGGGAGCGCGGAGACCACAGGGGGACGATTGTGGCCGGTCCAATGAGAGGTGGCTCTGGCCGGAGCCCTCGCGGGGCAGGGGTGAGAAGCGGCACTTCCGTATGCTGTGACCGCCAGAGCGAAGGGAGTGTCACATGCCGAGTGGCTTACAGAATGCGTTTCTTCACGGTCCCTCTGAAGTCTTAGCTGAGGCTCCTCCCTAGCTTCCATCAGGCCCTGGCCGTCCTCTGCATCCCTTGGCTTGTAGCTGGATCCCTCCAGTTCCTGGGTCTCCGCATCACCTTCTTCCTGTGGGCCCTCTCCCACTCTCAGCGCACCAGTCCTGGGGTGTGGGATCCACCCTCATCCACTGTGACCTCTGCTTAGTCGTACCCGCAGAGACTCGGTTTCCAAATAAGGTCACACCCCGGGGTTCTGGGTGGACAGGAAGTGCTGAGAGGCGCTGTGAGCACTCACTTCTGAGTGTGTTTTGAAGGTGGGTGTGGGAACGAGGAGACAGTGATGCTTTGGGTGGCGGGAAGGATGGCTGTGAGCTTGGCCAGGGCCCCTCCTCAGCGGTGCCCCCCACCCTTGCCCCAGGGCCTCCAGCCGCACCCACTGGGCTGTGTCTTTCCTCAGCTCTAAGCCCCATCGATGTTTTCCTGAGCTACATGTGTACTGGGTATCACTGTTGAAGCCCCTGAGTTAGCCACCCAAGTATTTAATCGTTTAATTCTAAATAAATTTTGAATAGAAGGGAGAGGTGCTACATCTGTCTGAGGAAGACTGGAAAGGAATTTAAGCGGCTTCATTTTTCAAAGCCCTGGGGCCTGTGTCCATTCCACTAATCCCCGCAGTTGTTCTGTAAGGTATGTAGGGTGGGGACGCGTCATCTTTTTTGGAAAAACTGAGAGGCTAAGTGCCTTAAGAGGATCGCCTAGCAGTTGGTTGAGATCTGACTTTGAACTCCAATGGGCAGGCAGGGCGTCAAGTGGAAGAGTGTTGGGAGGATGGGGTCGGGGTGGATCGTAAGGAGATGTTCTCTGCTTTGGCTCAGAATCCAGACAGAGGGAGGCCTCAGAAGCAACCGCCTGAGTGCACGGTGGGAACCCAGCCCTGTGGCTCAGCGAGTAAAGAATCCGCCTGCAATGCAGAAGGCACAGGAGACACGGGTTTGATCCCTGGGTTGGGGTGATCCTCCTATAGGAAGAAATGGCAACCCAGTCCAGAATTCTTGCCTGGAGAATTCTATGGATAGGGGAATCCAGCGGGCTACAGTCCATGGGGTCACAGAATCTTACAGGACTGAGCGTGAGCCCGAGGGAGGGACACCTTTTCCATAGGGAGCACAGTGTGTGGAGAAGAGGGACAGATGGAGACGCGCTCCAAGCCAGGAACTATTCCATGTGTGAACCAGGCTTTCTGCAGGCAGTGCTCATGGCAAGTGTACAGGCGACCCCGGCAGGACAGTGTGTGCAAAAGCTCTGGTGTTTTGAGGAACCAGGGACTGGATTCTCAATCTGCTGTTACCTAGCTGTGTGACTTTGGGAAGTAACTGGGATTCCCTGGACCTTGATTTCCTTGTGGGCAAAACAGAATCCATGATAGTGCCCGCCTCATAGGTCGTCCAGAGAATGAAACAAAAGTATGCAGGAAGAAGATTTACCGTAGTTCCTGACACCCAGCGCTAAGAGGCATCAATCGGTGTACTCGTACTTAATGAGTTCTAATGTTGTCCCTGCTTTAACAAGATTGGGTAAGAGAGAAAAGAACCAATGACCATGCCTGTGAATACTCCCTAAGCTTACTCTTAAGCCGGTCAGCATTGAGTGGAAGAATGCCCGATGCACATAGGATACTGACGAATCATTGCGTGGAACCCAGCACTGGGGGTCTGAACTGATCAGTTCCACTTGATTTCGGTCTTGATAACCGACAGGCGCAGCCAGAGTCAGCACGGTGGGGTCTGGCTGGGGCGGCTGGTTCCGTCGTGGTTCTGCCCACGTGTCCTGTGCCTCCCACTTGCTGCGTGTTGTACCACACCACGAGGCCACTCCCGGCCCTTCCAGGCTGGGGAGGCGGGGGGATGGATGTTTTTCTTTCAGAGTATTAAGCTGGAGACCTCTCGTTATGAAACTCCTTGTAAGAAATCAGAACTGTATCTTTTCGACAGAAGGATAGTAATGGTAGGCCTCTTGATGATTTCCCTGGGCAGTCTCCCTTTTGATCTGATCTGAAGTTTGGTCTTGATCACCAAAGAAATGTTCTTCCAATGTAAAGTCTTTGTCTGTGGGTCATTGCATGTATTTAAACAAATTTTACAATAAAGTAAGGCTGACATCTCTGAAGAGTAATCGGGGCCCTGGTGCCTCTTGTACTGGCGACAGTGGCCTTTCCCACGTTTCTGGGGTTTCCTCTCTCTTTCTCTCACATGCTCAGCTCCCAGACCAAGAATGTGAGGGGTCCATGTGAGATGGGGCAGGGTAAAGTGGATTTTGTCTTTCAGCGATGATAAGGAGCGGCAATAGTCGGTTCCCATGGAATGCCTTCTGCTCTTTCAGAAGGTTAAAGGGCTCAGTTTTGGACCCAAGCAGAGCTGGAACATACATTTCTTAAAAAAGTGTTTATGCCCTGCCAGGAATGGCAGACAGCTCTCTCATTTTTCTTACTAGTGGACTAAACAAACAAACAGTCCTGGTTGTGGCTCCATGGAAGGAGAGATCTTGAAAAGGCTGCAGAGAGAGGGGACGGGGTGGGTGAGCCCAAGCATGTTATGAGAACCGGGGCGCGGGGCAGAGGGGTGGAGGCAGAGAAATCTGTCTAGGAACTGGGTCAGGCCTTAGACTGAGCATTGTTTCCTGCTAGCACTGATGACTCATGCTCTTCAGGTTCATGCCCTTTAGAGCAGGAAGGTCTGCACAAGGAAAATGCTAATCTGAGGCTGAAGATGCGGGTGGTGTGGAGCCCAGTGTTAGTTCAGGTTTGGATGGGAAAGTGCCGCTCGCTCCATGCTGCAGTGAGGCTGGGAGGGGCCTGGGGTGGGGGTGGGGGGTCCAGGTAGAGACCCCTGGTGGGAACATCAGTGGGGAAGGGGCATGTGTGTTCAGATGAGGTGGGAAGATGGCAGTGGGCTGTCAAACATGCGTGCGTGCGCGCTCACACACACACACAATGTTGCTGATGGGAGAAGACTCCAGGCCCTGCGCGCGCGCGCGCGCGCGCATGTACACACACACACACACATTGTTGCTGATGGGTTCTCCCATGGGAGAAGACTCCAGGCCGCGCACGCGCGCGCACGCGCACACACACACACACACACACACACACTGTTGCTGATGGGTTCACACACACACACACACACACACACACACACACACACACACACACACACACAGTTGCTGATGGGTTCTCCCATCTCCAGGCCCTGCTGGGGTTTAGTGCCATGCCTGAGACCACTTCCCTGGGTGTATAAAGACCAAGTAGGAGTGAGACAGATGTTCCCTGGCTCATTGGGCCCAGGATGAACTGGCCATAGGATCCCTGCCTCATCGGGCTAGCTTTGTCAAGTCCCGAGCGAGTGAATCCCACCTCTGACTGGAGGCAGGATGAGAAAGTTCCACATGAGTTACTGTTTTGCTCTGATATCCACTGATGATTCTTGGGAATCTTGGGTGACACATCTAAAGAAATATAGTTACAAGAGTGTGATCGAGTGGGCCTCTAGATCTCCCAGGTGCCTGTTGCTGGAAGTCGCAGTGAGAGTCTTCTGGGGGCTGGAAACTCAGGCATGAGCAGTAGGGCACCTGCAAGGCCAGAAGCCAAGTTAGCTTGGGGTTGGCTTGAGGAGGATAGACTTTGAATGAGAAGAGCTGTGGCTCTGGGGATAAAAGCATGGCAGATGAGGACTGGGGAGTTCAGCGCTTGGAATGAATGGAGATGGGCTTCTGTCTTCAAGGGAAAGAGCGACTTCAGGTTTCCGAGGTGAGGAGAATGTGACCGCATAATCAAGTGAGGGTTGATTTGTTCAGGAACCCCTGAAAATTTCAATGAAAGAAAATTCTTGCCGTTTACTGTCTAATTTTTAAAATAAGATTTAAATTCATGAAAACATCTTCCCTCCCAACCCTCGTAAAAAAGAAAAGAAACATTTCAGCTAAAACGGGAAATCCTTCCCAGAACAGAAGGGAGTAAAAGTAGAGACAGAAAGACGGTCTGAGTAGCTGAACAGGAGCTCTGTGTAGGCAGCAGGCATCTTGTTCTGTTGGCCTCACCCCATCCTCAGCCCGCAGGACAGTCCCTGGCACACCTAAGCCACTTGGGTGTTTGAGTGCCTGGACTGACCGTTCTCTCGACAGGCACCGACTATGGAATGCTAAGCTGGGAAGACTTCACGTGGGACCAGGTTTTCTAGTACCCTGGCATCAGAGAAGCCAGCTACAGATCAGGGAGGCTCAGGGCAGCCATATTGAACAGAAGAGAAGGCATTTTTGAGACGGGAGGACAGCCAAGCCGTGGGTGGCGGAGCCCAGGGAAGTGCGGTGGAGAACAGTGTGGGCAAAGCTGTGGTGGCTTGGTGAGGGGGGCCTTTGGGGTGGGGCCTGGAAACAACTTGGAGCACTGTCAGAAATCCCTTCTAAGTATTCCTCCTCCTGTGGCCCGTGGAGGATATTTTCTGGGACATCTTCCCATATCCCCCCCCCCCTCAATAAAAACAAAAATCAAGACCTTCCCCCCACTCCCTTTAATCCAAGTGAAAAAAAAAAGAACCAAACACAGAAAAACCCACCCTGTGTCTTGAGATTACACACTAGTTGCCCACCCAGCCTTTTTAATCTTGCTTTGTCGTTTCTAAAGGCGTTCTACCCTAAAGCAAAAGCATACTCATCCACCTCTCTGGGGAGCAGGACTTGGGTAGGGTGCCGAGT